TTTTTTTTTTTTTTTTTTTTTTTTTTTTTTTCCCTCTCTGCTTGTGTGTCCTGCATAATTTCGATAAATCGTCTGATTGCCTGTTGGTCAGAGGTGCGTACCAAGCAGAGTTTTTGTTCTGAGACTTGTGGGCACCCACAACACAAGCCTCAGGACAAAGACGCTGCTTGGTATCATGCTTTTAACTCACTCGTTTTCCTTTCCGCTTGTTCGGAGACTTGTGGGTGACTACCAAGCAGTTGCCTCAGAATAGGCAGGCTAGGGTCTTTGTTGTAATAAAACAGGCAAAAAAAAAAAAAAAAAAAAAAAAAAAAAAAGAAAGTTCAATCAATAAACAAGGAGGAGGAAGAACACCTTTCTCGGCCTTTTGGCTAAGATCAAGTGTAGTATCTGTTCTGATCAGTTTAATATTAAAAAAAAAAAAGTAAGAAAAAAAGAAAAAAAAAAAGGAGGAGGAGGAAGGAAAGGATTCAGAAAGAAAAACTTAAGGGGAACAAAAGGATTCCATCCCTAACTGGCAGTTTGTTTGTTTGGATGGTCAAATGCACAAAATGCACAAATGCAAATTCTGCTGTTGCTGCTGCTGCTGCTGCTGTTGCTGCTGCTGCTGCTGCTGCTGCTGCTGCTGCTGCTGCTGCTGCTGCTACTGTGCACCCAGGACAGACAGATATTCCTCTGGGAGAGGTTTCCGGTGAGAGACTGTGTGGCACATTGTCTTGAGAGGCCTGTGCTGCTCGAGCAGTAGAACAGGATCTGCTGGAGGAATGCAGCCTAGCTCAAAACAAGAGGGATTAAGCGGACAGTAAGAGAGAGCAGAAAGGATATCACAGTAGAAATCCAACATCGTGATCATGGATTATCGCGATGATGGCACACTGAAAATGATTCCCATGTTCCATACCACAGCTTCCGAGGAGATCGATGGGATCGGTGCACAGCCCGCGGTACACTACTTGCAACCTCCTCCGATCGACGTGCACCGCCGTAAACCTTGGTTTGTGTTTGTAGATGGGTGGTTGTCGGTTCAAGTGTGGAACTACGAAGATGGTAAGCTGGTCACCGATTGGGAGGTTGACGAGTTCAGCTTCTTGCATTCCGCGAAGTTTGTTTCGAAGAAAGATTGGATTGCGGTATTAGGCTGCGGTTCATGGGGAGTGATTGAGTATGAGGTCCTGCCGTCAGAATTGCGGAAGACCGGAGTGTTATTGCGAGGAGAGGGCAGGTTGGTCAACGACATAATTGTCCATCCCTTCCTCCCTTACCTCCTTGCATGTTGCTCGGCCGATCCGATTGGAGTGGATAGAGACAGTGCCCACAACGCCGTGCTCTGGAATTGGGAGAATGATTGGCACAAAACTGAGTTGGAGTCACATTCCACAAGTGTGATAACCGCCGCATTTCATCCTGAGAGGTCGAACATATTTGCCAGTCTGGCCCACCGAGGGGAGATCAAGATATGGAAAATAGGAAACATGGGGCCCTCACGGACGATCAAAGGCCACAAGAACATCTGGAATATCCGATTCTGTGCGGATGTGCACAAGTCCCATCTGATCGCAGGTGGCGAGAACGGGTACTTGGCAGTCTGGGATTACTTGACAGGGTCATGTGTTGCGAACATGACCGTCAATAGTCGTCCCATGTACCTTGGTCACATCGCCGTCCACGTTAATATTCCTGTGTACTCTGCCCTTTTCCATCCACATTTACCGTATATCTTCAGCGCACAGGGTGACGGGTACATCCGAGTTTGGAATGCGGTCACGTACGAGCCGATCCGTATGTATCGTACCGGATACGAAACTCTCTGGAGCATGGAAGCTTCCAGAAAAGGACACAAACTCGTTGCTGCAGGCAAACAAACCTGCATGGTGATAGAGATCACCACCGAGAAGGGGAGAGTGGCGGAACACATAAAAAACGTTTTAAAGCGGGTCGCGAATCGCCGTAAGGAGAACACAGAAGACGTAGCGCCTACCTGTGCAGCTCAGCAAAGAGGATGCCTAAGGTCCTCACAGAGACCGAAACATAGATCAGGAAAGGAGGTGGCCACTGATGATGAATGCCGAGTGATGTCTGAAGGAGCAGGAACTTCAAAGGTAAACGCACACGGACAGCGAGAGAGAGAGCTTATCCGTCCGACGGACGTTGGAGAAACCGCCGGAGCATCGTTTCCACAAGGTCGTCGGAAATCCAAGATGGATGTAGAAGAGGAAATGGAATTCCGTCATGGGTCAAATAAGGGGATAATTACCGCAAGTCGTTTGTCGACGTCAGATATATCCGGAAAGGAATCGGAGCTTGACAAGGCGGCGGCTACGGAAAAGAGGGTCCTCCAATTGGAGGCGGAGAAGGAAGCATTGATCGAGCAGGTTGACCGGTTAAAGCGGACAATCAAGGAGTTGGAAGGAAGGCTGAAAGAGGAGGAGGAGAAAGCGCGTCAGGTGCTGGAGGAACGCATTGGAACTCGAGCGGAAGGATCGAGCGAATGAATAAAAAATCGGGCAGGCAAGTTGCAGATTTAGTATTATATAGTATATAGTATATACTATATACTATGTATTGGTTTCGAAATGAATCGTAACAAAAATGCCGGTCTGCGCAGGTATTGAGACAAAGAAACGCGTTTTGGAGAAGCCCAGCCGTTTTTAACATGCGTCTGAGCAGACTTGCCGGTCTGTGACATTTCAGGGACAAATAAAACTGTGTGGTACCTCCTCTTTTTGCAACAGAGGACACGGGGGCCTTCTAGTGCGCTTCTTTTTGCGGCCTTCCAGTGCGCTTGCCTCAGGCCAGGGGGACGGGGCCTCTGTGCAAAAGAAGGTACAGACCGGTAAATCTGCTGACAGATTCATGTTGAAAAAGGCTGGGCTGCTCTGATTCATGTTGTCCCACTACCTGCACGGACCGGTATTTCTGTTACGATTCATTTAGAAACAGGTATGTCTGCAATTTGCCCATACAAAAATCCAGCAATCATTCGAGATGGAACGGGTAGGTTCTTCTGTTAAAAAGACACAAGGGGGAAAGCAAAGCAGGAAAAGGTAGGTCCAGGGTCCTGGAATTCTGCAGCTGCATTTGGCAGCTGGAGTTTTGCACCTGGATTGGGATTGGGATTGGGATTTGGATTTGGATTTGGATTTGGCAGCTGGATTTAAATTTGGATTTGGCAGCTGGATTTGGCAGCTGGAAGAGAGTCTGAAGAGGGGGGAGAGGTTGGAGGGGGGCTCTTCAGAGTGAAAAATCAGAAATTCTGATGACAAAAGTGGAGAGGGTCTGAAACAAACATCGACAGACTTTGAGCAAAAAAAAGCAGAAATACAGTCAAATACTTTCTGTCAGATACATCTGAGAAATGCATATTGTGGGTATTCACTGAGATAATTCTGAGGCTAAGAACACTTGTGTTCGTATGTGACATAATTCTGAGGCGCTGGAAACAGCGAAAAACACCGATGATGAACGGAGGAACGGGAATGGAGTGAAGATTATGAAAGCAGGAGGAGGAGGAGGAGGAGGAGGAGGAGGAGGAGGTCACATTGTTATCCGATTCGCTCGTAAGCTCTACAAAGCAACAACACATTGACAACCATGATGTTGAAGTGATGGATGATGATGAACCAACCATTTCAGGAAATTGAATATTTTTCCGTCAGCAAACTGCTAGGCGGCGCAACCCAATCAGTCCGATGACAGGTGTCAAATCAGGTGAAGCAATCATGATGGTAAATCTTCCACCGTGGTAAATTCTCCTCATGATTATGCATGGAGTTACGGGGGAGAGCTCCGCTGTGCAAAGACGGTGATGATAAAGATACTAAGTAGCACCGTGCCGAGTCATATGATCGTACAAGGTTGAAGACACACCTGGTTGGCTGATGATAGGCATGGTTGACCGCCGGTAGGCGCGGTTTTGACCGATAGGCGGGGTTTGGACCAATTGAGGTCTCACTTCAGCATCGCCATTTCTTAACCCTCTTGGGAGTCGGCAATGACGAAGATTGCTGCTGCTTGGAGCACGAGAACGTGACGAATGGAAGCGCACTAAGCAAATCGATCGTCCGTGACGAGGTGCCCACGGAGGGGCACCTTCCACAGAATGTCCGCCTGCAGATTATGGCTGCAGAGATTGCTCGGCGGCACCGGGCGGAGTCGTGACCCTGCAAGGTTGAAGATGGGCGTGGTTGACTGATAGGCGTGGTTTTGACCGATGGAGGCCTCTCACTGCACTACTAGCTCCCATTGTGTAACCCTCTTGGGAGTCGGCAGCGATGAAGATTGTTGCTGGTTGGTGTACGAGAAGATCGCGAATGGAAGCGCACTACTAAGCAATGCATTGGATCTTCCTTGGCGAGGTGCCGACAAAGGGACGCCTTTCACAGTATGTTCGCCTACACAGATTATGGCCACAGAGATTGCTCGGCGTTACTGTCCCCTTCCTGCTGTCCAATACATTGGAGGCAGGTGGGACAATCGCCCGCCGCGCTTGGAAGCCGGAGAAGATCTTTTCGGACAACTTTGTGGCAAGGCTCCGCACTGAGGTGGACTACACAGTGCTTGCCTCACATGCCGTTGGCAAAGACCGCAGTGAAGGGGGAGCACAAAAGCTAGAACTACGCCTGATCCTGGGACGAGACGCCCCCTCCCGAATACTTGAGATCGATCAGGGGGGTCTTCAACGAGAAGACTGAGATTGACATCTACTATGCTCTGAGCATCATCATCACCACTTTGCTAGTCTAAGAGATGCAGCGGAAGGTAGAAAAGCTTTGGAAACACACTTGGAATCGTCGAAGATGAAAAGCTTTTGAAACAGCTCTTGGGTCGTGACTAAAATGTAGGAGATTGGTGGTTGGGACATCGATCCCGGACGCATTGGGAAGTTGTCGCACATCTGGGGAAGGCGGGGGCTGTGTTGTGCCAGTCGTGTTAGACAACAAAGACCAGACAATGGCAGACATGAGGACAGGCAGACGTGGGATCCTCGCAAAATTGCACGTATTTGATGGGGCATGGGTGTGTAGTACTGTGTACACTTTGGGGGTTAGGTTGTATGGCCCTGTTTTTCCTTTTGTTTCCCCCCGCTCCCTTCTTGGACGGCCGCACCAAGTTTGTTTGTTTGTTTGTTTGTTCTTTTTTTTTTTTTTTTTTTTTTTGGGACCATTTCTCGATTTATGTGTGTCATCCTTGCGCAGGGGCCATGCTAATCTTCTCTCTCTGTATCGTTCCAATTTTAACAGATGTCCCAAAGGACCATGTTTTTTTTTGTTTTGTTTTGTTTTTTAATACTTTTTTAAAGTTTTTTCTGATCTGGGTGTGTGGGCCCACGCCTCTTTGGGATACTGTAATGTGTGGACAGTATGGAATGGTACGGTTTTTGGCACCAGTTCGGGGACTTGCATAGCCACCACCGCCTTCACCCAAATAGAACGTTAGGTCATTATAGCTGAATGTAGACTGAAAGTTGGCCCAAATGCAGCTGTCATGACTTCACCCAAATACAACGCCAGGTCATCATAGCTGAATATAGACTGAAAGTTGGCCCAAATACAGCTGTCATGACTGGCTGGGCGTTCTGTTGAAGGCTGTAGTCTGTCCCATGCTGCTTCAGGGACTGCTGGAAAGCTGCGGTCAATCTGATTTCTCCTTTTTCGATGGCAGCTCCTCCGACATTATGCCGTATGTGAGTACTGATCGGTGGATTTTTTTTTTTTCTTCTGCCAGGGTGAAGCATACAGTCACTTCCATTCATCATGCTTGGCACGACGACGATTCTGAAGCAGTTGCGCTCCAGCACCACTGCGGCCAAAGGCACCATTTTGGAATACGACCGCTTGGAGTTGCCTCCTTGTTGTTGCTTGTACATCAATTTTTTTTTTTTTTTTCCCGCATTCATCGTGTTTTGCTGACCGTGGGTCGTCAGGCTCTGCATTTTGTGCTGTGCACCGTACGGACAGTTTGCTTTGCTTTGCTTTATTCTTCTGACCTCGCTTAAGGCATCGCCACACCACTCTCGAAATGTGAAAAATGAAAATGAACTTCCGGCTAGAACATGACCAGATGCGCCCGCCACAGTTTTGTCTTTTTCACATTTCGAGAGTGGTGTGGCGAGGCCCTTACGCTTGTTGGTTCTCTCACAGTGTCACGTCGGTGTGCAGTACTGACTTCAGTGACTCGTTTGTTTGCCGACAATGCCTGGCATGTGACACGCTCTTCTGCTGTTCGCAATCTTCGCGACCTCTGAATTCCTGTACTGCCGCTGGACAGCTTTCGGCTGTCGGAGACTCTTGCTATTTGATCGCTCGCCACTTGGAGTTGCCTCCGCCTCCTTGGTCGTTGAACAACAACTTTTTTTCTTCTTTTTTTTTTCCGCACTCGTCGTGTTTTGCTGACCGTGGCTTGCCAATCGTTGTGCGGTGTGCCATATATTGATTACATTGTAACGAGTTTGTATTAACTTTGGCGAACAACTTAAACTTTGTTTGCATCACCTTCTGAAGGTGATGCAAAAAAAAAGTCTGACTCATGAATCGTGATTCGTTCTAACGCAGGTTCCCAGCACGTGCTGCTCCCCACGAATAGATTGGAGCCGTGTTCCCATCAAAGATACACAGTGAAAGTCTGACTCATGAATCGTGATTCGAGTAGTCTACACACCTCCACCTTTCCACCCTTCTGAACCCACTGCGGAGGATCTCCAGTACTTCCCATGTTATGTCATCTTCCTCTGTTCCTGATTTGTACCAGGTGTCAGGCGGGTCCACCCCTTCTGGGCCCAGCAGTTCCAGCCACCTCTGTGGTATGGCTGCTATGATCTGTTGCCGGTGTTGTTCCACGCGTTGCAGTCCTCTCAATGTGAGCTTCACCTCCCCTAGCGGTTTCCAACTTCCCAACACGGGGCACCAAATATCCTCCATTCTCACCACCCCTCTCTTCACCCAGGCTTGGCCAAAAGAGCCTGCTGAACCGTCCGCAGCCAGCGGAACGCCAGTCTGATCCAGGATTGCAGGGTTCTCAAAAAGCAGCTGACAGAGGACCTCCTCCTTCGTGGTGGGGGTGTGCGGCATATCTGCGGGCGACTTGTTCCATGCCTTTCGGACTGGCTCCCAAAATGCTGACTTCAGGCGTTTCTTTCTGAATGATGTCATGAAGAAACAAGCCCACACGTCTTGGGGGCGACTCAGACCCCATTCCCCGCCTAATATGCGTTCTGCTAGTGTGAGCTAGTGCTCTCGGGAGTGCGCCATGGCCACCTTCACGATCCAGCATCTGAGTTGGGCCTGTTTTTTCCGGGTCGGGTTTATTAGTCCCAGTCCACCTTTCTCCCGTGGGAAGGACAGGGTCTCCAACGCAACCTTGGAGATGAACCCCTCTCCGTTCTGCGCTGTTGGCTTCCAGAGGAAGCGGGAGATCAGCCTCCTTATGGCTTTCACAATACCCTCCGCCAGTTCCTTGACCGTTGTTACAAATCACAGGATGGAGAACAGGGCTGTGTTGATCACCAGCGCGCGGCCCATGATAGATAGGTGCCAAGCGGACCCCCAGACCCGGAGTCTAGCTGCGATCCGCTGTTGCAAGAGGACTCCTTGTCC